AGAGAGAGAGAGAGGTTGTCGTTGTCTTGCTGACTTCCGTAGGAGCAGTTTTTCTTCACCAAAGAAACAGGCAACCCGTAAAACCAAAGACCCCAATGAATAAATCATCAATTAACTTAAGTACTTTGACACATGCTATCAATGTAAAACTTACCAGGAAAAGAGCAGTAGTGAATTCTTCTTTTCTCCAGCTCCGGGTTGTTTTTTCTGTTGTATTTGATGGTGGAACAGCCCGGGTGAGTGATTGGCTGCTTTCTGGGTCGCTCTGAGCGGGAGGTGGACGGGGTGATCATGGAAATGGTGACAGGGATGGATGAGGGGGCGGGGCTTAGGACGGGGCGGGGGATCTGCTGGGAGTTGCCGGGGTAGGGCGGGGGCGGAGTCCTGCGGATGGCATCTGTGCTGGGGCTGCCCGGCTGTGAGTTGGGTGGGGTCGGGGGCAGGAACAGGTTGGGCACGACGTGAGGGGCGGGGCTTTGCGTGTTGAAGCCTCCTCCTGATTTGTTGTTCATTTGCGCTGGGGACGAAGTGGGCGGGCACATGAAGCCGCCTGAGCTGCTGGGCACGGGGTGACTTCCTAAACTAACCACGCCCCCACTACTACTGGATGAGTTCTGGATCACGATATGACTACTGCTGCTGAGCGCGGGGTGGGAGGGGCTAAAAGTCGTTTTCACGGGGGCCCCTGTGATATTGTTGAATACTGGCATGACGCCACCTAGGCTGCAAGAAGTGTTTCTCTCAAGTCCACCATTGCTTATTCTATACTGGCTACCACTAGAGTTTGTTGTTGAGTGTGAATCGAAGAGGAAATTGTCAACACCTTTGGGGCATATGGAGGCTATAGAGGAGGAGGATGGGGGCAGTCCATACTGACACGACGGCTTGAAGTCACTGTCCATGGGTTCTGACTTGATGGCCATGCAGCTCTGTCGGCTCATGGCCGGAACGGTGGCCATCATGTTCCCTGCTCCCACGTGACTCACGTGGCTGGCGCACGAGGCAGCCACGCTGGAGGCGGCGTCACACGGCACGTGGTTGTCCACCATGTTCATGGAGGCGGTCAGCTCCTCCCACATCGTGTCGCTGGCGATGGTGGTTGTCGCGTTGGTCAGACTGCTGCTACCACTGCTGTTGCTGCTGCTGTTGCTGCTCAGTCCGGTAGAATCCCCCGCCAAGAACGGCGTCAGATTCACGCCGGAGGTGGGCGCCATCACTGAGTCGTACATGGTAGAGTCAATGTCGAAGACCTCCATCGCTTCTGTCTCCAAGGCCTCCATCCCTGAAGGCTCCCGCTTGACAAACAGCTTCTCCACAGCGGCCAACACGGCGGCGCTTTTGCTGTCGTCCGGGGTTCCTCCAAGCCCGAAGAACTCCTCCACGAGGCTGGAGCTTTGTCTCCTGGCGTTCTCCTCCTCGGAGAAAAGAGCTTGCTTCTCCGCCGACGTGAGCATCCTGCCGGTTTTCGCTGACGGCGCGTTGAGGGAAGTGGCGAATGCGGTGGTGGAGCTGGTGGTCGAGGAAGGCGCTGTTTTCAGGACGCTTGGCTTGACTGGGTCAGGGAAGAAGAACTCGTCGATGACGGAGGCGCTTTCTCTGCGCGTCTTTTTCAGATGCAGCGGCGTCTGGGGCATGTCCCCTGGGGGGAGGTATTTGTCTAGCACGCCGACAGCCTGGGAGGGTGGAAGAGAGAAGGTACTGGTTATACAAGATGCATTGTTGGGGAAGATGAAGAGACAGAGGGTGTTGATTATATAAGGTGCACTTTTGGAGAAAATAAAGGTAATGGGGATGAGGGGGAAGAGGGAGAGGTAGGGGTGGCTGAAGAAAGAAAAGTTTGAGGAATATGGCAAATATTTTAGAAAACGATGAAGGACCAGAAAACAAGACACTCATGAGAGAGAGAGAGAGAGAGAGAGAGAGAGAGAGAGAGAGAGAGAGGGGGGGGGAGGGAGAGAGAAAGAGAGCGAGAGAGTTCGGATGTTGACGTAGACCATCTTTCCATTGAGGGTCACGCAGATCTATGATTTTTGTCCCTTTCTCCTCAGTGCGAGAATAAACGGGGTGCGTATAATTAAAACAATATTATTGTCCGATCGTGCCCTCTCCATTGAAGTTTTACAATACCTTTCATCATTCCAGATTATTCGAGCCCCCGCCCTGCCCCTTATCAGAAAGTCCTTGAGATTAAGCCAGCCCGATGGGTCTAATTCCAGACTTTCATTGTCGGAAATACGCCCCCAGGATACGGGTGTGGGGGAGGGGGGAGGAGAATAATATACAGCCAAAAATAGAACAATCGAGACCCCGGCAAGCGTGAGACAATTGGGGCCTAATGCGCAAAAACCGCCAAAGACCCCGTCCACTGAAAGAGAACGCGCGCAAGCGGAGAGTCAAAACCCGCCATCTCCTCGAACAGTTTCTTTTCTTGGTTGTCTCGGTTGTACCCGCAGACGCAGGAAGATAACGCTATCTTCCCCTCGCTCTCGGGTCCCCACGAAGTCGCACGCGCGTCAAAACAAGGTTCCAGAAATAGCAGTCCTTATTACTGGACGGGGGCCCGAAATAGCAATCTCTGCTCGCCGAGAGGTTGACAGAGGCCAGCTTGTTTTCCAGAGCTCCCCAACACGCACGCGCACGCACGTGTCAACATGTTTACGGCAAGGGAGCAGAGGGCGGTTGGGCTGGACCTGATTTTGTGACCTCTTTTATCCTTCTTTCATCTCTTCATAACCTCTCTCTCTGACACAATGAGTTTCAAGAAAAATTCGTTTGTTTCAGTTTTGATTTCGGCCACTTATCTTCTAGCCGGAAAAACACGGTGCCTTTACACGAACTCGATATAATATCTTTTCCTAGGGATTTATCCAGCTCAGTCCTTTTACACCTGCATGGTATCACAAAGAGTATCGTGGAACTTTTTTTTTTCTCTGTCTGCCGATGACAAACAACCACCTGCTTTCCAAGAAACGGACTCGGATTGCCCATAATGAAAAACTGAACTTCCTTTCTGAGTCCGGCTTTTCATGGGGCCTACCAGGATATGGAGCCCATAGGTATCCCAAGGGCGAATTTAAAATGTCGCAATCATAAACAGGGTTACGTAAAGGCCTAACTTGAGTCACTCACACGCCGGAAAAAATCAGAAAAGGGCCCGTATGAAAAGTTAATTTTACGTTCTTCACGAATTCATTCTACGTAGTTTGTTCTGTTAGTTTTTCACGGTGACACAACACAGAACTTAATGTAACTTCTTTCTCTTTCGTGACATCAAGATAACGCCCTTAATCATCGTGTTGCAACGTTTTATTATCCCGGCGTTCGTTCGTGTTTGTTTTGGTATTTTCCCCTGCCTTCTCTGCCCGGGCGGTGTTGCACAACCAGGTCAACCTGCCGGTTGTCATGAATGCGAAACGTGGAGGTCCCTCAGGTAGTAGTCTATAAATAGAACCCAACGTCACAGGAAGCGTTACGGTGCACGGGTAAGACTTTCACCCGTTATCGAAAAAGTTAGGTTTTAAAGTAGGTACAGAGACCTTCTTTTATATTAGTATATTACACTACAGAAATACAGACATTGCGACATAGATTACATCACTTTTGAGAAACACTGCTAATTTCACATCCCATGATATTATCAGAAGACAAAAGACTACAATTATGTTCTATTTGACGCTACGCCTGAACAACAAAAATCACCATTATTATTAAGATAACAACTCCTCTCCAAACCTCCTCGACCTAGTTCTAGAACTATCGTGAAACTCGATACTGGCGCACAAAGAGTCGGTTCGAAATGATCATTCAACAAAGTTGGGAATTCAACAGGGTGCGGCGGGAACCACAAACATTTCATTCACAAAAGACTTTTGCAATATCATATCTTGCATTACGCGTAAGAAAGGAAAGAACCCTTTCGTAGTGTAAATTACGTCGTTTAGGGCATGCGTAAATAACATGCGTCTCCTGAGATGTTACTATGTAGGCGGGGACCCCTATGGGTACAATAGGGGCAACCTCTGACCTCGGCAACGGGTTGTTGCGGATCAGCTGGTCCGGAACTTGCGTGGGCGTTTATTGAAAAGGGGGGGGTGAAGGCAAGTGCGGGGG